TTCTGCTTTTGCGGTCTTTATCTCGCTTCACAGAACTGCACTTGTTTTCCTTTCGCTCGCCGGGGGTGACTTTTTTCCTATTTCCTTTTACATAATGTCGTACACTTCAGTTTACATAAGAGGCCTCAGACTGTCTGCTGTTCGTTGCATGGGTTCAGGGGTTATTCCCGAGGGCGAAATGAAAGTTAACCTGGGGCTCGTGGCAGCCGTGGAGGATATGGCCTGTGGTGGAGCCCGTTTCTTTCGTTTCCGGAAAGGCCCATTTCCCGCTGCGAGTGGGAAGGGATTATTCTGAGAAAACACTGGGGATTCTAAAGACAAACCCCCCACTTTCTGTTTCTGGCTTTACCACCTTTCATCAGGTTCTTTCAAACCTTGTGCAAACGTGGAGCTTCAATGAGAAACTCCTGGTGACATCGGAGGCTCAGCTCTGCCTTTTCTTGACTCGTTGGCCAGTGGGACTGTTAATTCCCAGCAGGCATGCATTCCCAGCTTTCCACGGGCAGGGTTAGTGTCTGCTTTCTCTCTTGTGGCTGGTAGCAGCAGCATTTTGAAATCATGATGCAGAGAGACTCTCTGTTCTGTGTTGTACCTGTGTGCAGAACAGGCATTTTGTGTAGCTCAACTGAAAGGGAACAGAGTAACACGAATATCTTGATTGTTAAACCAGCTGTTGTCCAGGGAGCATCAGTAAAAGCACTTTGAGCAGTTGTGCCTCTTCCACGTGTGCTGAAATTAATACCTTTTTCCACAAACTGTTCATTATTTTACGCCTTTGGAGGCCAATGCACTAACCCAGGACACGTGGGACCAGAGCTCTTAAGACCTGGTAATTGTTGGGTAATTGTCTGTGTAATGTGTAGGGATGCTGTCACACTTAATCCTGTACTATCCTCTCGTCTTACTAAAACCACCTTCGTGGTTGATCTCAAACACTTTCCAAAATGCAGATCCCTAGCCAATATTTTGCTTTGCTTGTTTGGCTTTTGCATTTTCCCCTCCCTTCAGCTGGCGAGAAGAGCCGAAGGCAGAGTCCCTGCTGCTCTGCCTGGCTCTGCAAGGGTCCCTCACTCCCTTCCTCCAGGCTCACAAACCTTGGCTACGTCTTAGAGCTCCGTATTAAACCTCCGTGTGAAGACGTGGGGTTTGACACCACGCCGAGTACAAGAACATTCACCAGACAGTGGAGGAGTTTATTGCACTGAGCAGAGCGGGAATTCCTCCCTGGTGTAGTCACAAAGGCTTTGAACCATCAGTGGGAGCTCCGGCAGCCCGGGGCTATCTGCAGTTGGAGGAGGCAGTCCCCAAACCCAGGCAGCCATCTGGTGCAGACCTCCGGTCTCATATTTCAGGGGATGAACTCCTGCAGAGTTCACTCACGGCTGCTGCTGCAGAAGCCTCTGCTCTGCACAATTGGGCGTCTGATACCCCTGAGTTAAACATGTGGTTTTTCCTTGTGCCCCTCCATCCAGAGGCCTTTTTCCTGCTGTGTGCAGAGGAGCAGGGTTGCACACTGAGCTGGAGAAATCACGGTCAAATGTTCATTTTCCATGTCTTCCTTTTTTTGATGCCCATCTTGGGATGTGTTGGATCTCACTTTCTGGGGTGCCGGGTCCTGTCCGTATGAGTTTGGTGGAAGGTGCAGATGCCATAAACATCAACGTGCTCAAAGTTAGTGTTTTCAGAGAAAAACTTTGCTGAATCATGTTGCAGCCATTTAAAGCTCTGCATGGGGCTGTTGGATTCATCTCTTGTACCAACAGAAGGGACTTTTCACCTGTGTCTTGTGCTCAGGTCTCCAGGTTGAGCACCAAGGAAGGAGGGTTTGCATGTGGGCACCAGGCTGTGGTTGTGCTGACTGAGCCTGACTCATGTTTCCTTCTGCTATGAGGGGCAGAAAATTCCAGCAAACGTGTAAGGCAGGCAGTGGGGAGGAGTGACTGTTGCAGTAATATTTACCAGCACTTTTGTGTCTCTTTAGAGACCATTTTGAAGGCAGTCAGCTTTGGTCGACTTGCTGGAAATCCCGCTCTGAGTGTCAGAGCTGCAGCATTGGTGGCCAGTGGATACATAAGCCACAGGTCAAGGTTTTGAGCCTCTCCCAGCCCTGCTCCCACCCCACCTCCTCATCTGCAGAAGGAGAAACGTGCCTTTGGTGCAGGTGTTGGGAGTGGGGCTTCACTGGCTCCGTCCTGCCGCTGCTTCTTTTTGCTTCGTTGGTTTTTAACCAACACGCGCGGAATGCACAATCAGCATCTTGGAGAAGCAGCAGCCGTAGGAAAGAGGAAGCTCACGCAGAATATAAATAGCCAAATTTTAGAATGTGCCAGTGTAGCAGCTCGGCTGGCTCTTGGCGTGGGCCTGGTGCAGACACCGCTGGGAAGCCGCGGCCTTCGTGTGTGGTTTGCAAAGGGGGAACTTCGGGGGATATCGCACAAGTCAGCAGGACAAAAAAATGAATGAATCTTGACAATCTTGAATATGGGAAGGAAACGAAATGTGCTTCTACGCACATCAAAATGGGGCGTGTATCCCCTGCACGGGACACGAAGTACGGAGCCAAAACCCCTGCAATACTTTCCACTGTAGTTGCACAGCAGCTGCCAGTGATTCATGGGTTGATCCTGGGATGTTTTGCCCTCCCATGTGATTTAATTTATTAATTTAGTTGCATGTCAACAGGCATCTAATTTTTTTTTTTTTAGATGTTTGTGTCTGAGATTTGCAACTGCCCAGCCAAGTCTCTTTTCTGAGTTAGACCATACAGGGCTCTGGTTCTGCTGGACCCAGAGCTTTCCTCCAGCCCAAAGTCTCAGCATAACTGGGAGATACACAGGGTAGGGCTGACATGCAGGTTGGGTGATGAAAACTGAGAGAGAGCCCAGGACAGCTGGTGTAAAGAAAGCCCTGTTGGTGGTGATCCCCCTTCTCTATCACTGCCTCTTGGGTAATGGGTTCGTGTGCTCAAGAGGCATCACTGTCATTTCTGGAGGCTCACATCACTCTAGGTACCAGGGTTTGATGGTCTCTGTGGACAAATTGGAAAGTGTATCTATGGCTTTTCTTCCTTTTTTTTGGAAACAGCATCTCTAGGTGGAAGAAAGACAACTTGGCCAACTTGATTAGGTGCCATCACTGTAGGGGGTTGATCCAGAGTGGATACAAAGCTGCTCTCTCCCAAGGTTGTGCCAGTCCCCCAGGGCAATGTACTGGAACATAAATTTATGCCATAATTTATCCCAGAGCACAGAACAAGAGAGGGACAGACACAGGTGTCAGGAAGGATATCTGTTAGTTTGCTGCCCTGTGCAGGTGCTGTCAGGGTTGGTCTGGAAGCCAGTGAATCCTGGGAAAGACTTCTGATGTTCACAGCAGAGCTGGAGTTAGGAGCCTCACAATCCCTCGAGCTTCAGCAAAGCAAACCTCTCCATAATCTGGCATGAAGTGAGAAGAGCAGGTTCAGCAGAAAGTGAAAAAGTCAGTAACCCTGCCCAGGGGGATTCTCTGTCCTCATTCATTACAACCATGAATGAGAGGCTTTTTCCAGTTTCCCCTTGCTCTTTGAGCTGCCTTGATTCCTTGCTAATGACCAGCCCCTGGCTTGAGCAGGGTGTGATAATGGTGCAGTGGCCGCTGCTGTGACGGTGACGATAAAGGATGGTGGGTAAAGAGCCTGTGATCCATCAGCTCAGGGTCCTGCTCTGCTCGTGTCTCTTGAGATGGGAGATGCCTGAAATGAGGGCCCTGGGCATGGCTGTTCCCATGTTCACAGGGAGCAGTTTGGAGGAGGGTTTTTTGCAGGGAGCAGCATCGCTCCTGGGGTTCCATCCTGGCTCCCTCCACAGCAGCTTCTTCCCTGGCAAGCCCTGTGTTGTTGCCACTGCTCAGGGATTTTTATGTCCTGAAGGGGCCGGTTGCAGGGAGAGCCACGGGCTGGCTCTGGCCCTTGGCTGGCAGTGTGGTATGCAGGGGAGACTTGTCCTTGTGCCCCACAGCACGTGGTCACCTCCCCCTGCTAACCAGCTTATTGCCTTCGGGCATGTTCTCCATCTGCTGAGCAGTGGGTTTTGCCGTGTGTCAGACCCTGTCCCGCCATTTGGTGTGGGGGCTGGAGGGCGGGGGAGATCCCCGCGGTGTTTAAAAGGATCTGGATAAACCATCTTAAGAGAGGCACTGACTCAGCAGAGTGTGGTGAGGGAGGAGGAGGAGGAGGGAACCAAATCGTCCTTGTGGGGCTGGAGCTGCTGCTGAGCCCTGTGCTGGCATGTGGTGCTGGGGGATGTGCGTGCCCGGGAACCTGCCCCGAGAAGTATCACCCCTTTCCTCACCAAATTCTAGGTGGTCTCCACCCCCCAGAGCAGAAATGTGAGCCTCAGAGCTGGGTTGGGCTGTGGCCCAGAGGTGCCCTGTGCCTGATGCCGATCCCTGGGATTTCCCCCCCAGCTTTGAGCTTCCTCTTGGATTTCTGCCTCCCAGCGCTGCCAAAGCTGGTGGGAGCTTGGTTTGACAGTTATTATTTATTAGGGAAGTGCACAGAGGTGCCCAGTTCTGCAGGGACAGATTACTGAGATTACAGTCAGAGCAGGTGGCAGTGTCACCTTATGGGAAAGGCAGAGGCTTGGGAAGGGGGAGGCAGCCAGGGCTGGGTATGGGGTGTGCTCTCACTGCCCCCCTTGCTGCCCAGCGAGGGGTCCATGCTCTGCCTGGCACCAAGCACTGGCACAGCCTGGCTTTGCTGAAGGGCTGAGAAGTGGAGCCAAGAGCAAAACAAGAGCAGCTTCCCAAAGTCCTGGCTCTGCTGTGGGCAGGCTCAGATGGGCCCAGAGCTGAGCTGGCCAGACTGGTGTCACTGGGTTTGTGTTTCTGAGCAGGTCAGGGAGACTCTTGCTGTCTGCCAGCTGTTGCCTTTGGCTTGCTGGGATGCCTTGTAGGAGCCACAGGAGCATCTCTGCTGCGCTTTGCTCTCCTTATCTCATGGTGTATCTTGTCTTTCCATGCAGAGCTCCACACAGGAGATTGGAGAAGAGCTGGAGGATGGTGTGATCTACAGCATATCGCTCCGGAAAGTGCAGCTCCACCACACGGCCAACAAAGGGCAGCGATGGCTGGGGGTAAGCTGGGGGTTTTAGAGGTTTCCAGGCCACAGGAAGCATGTATTAATTTGGGAGCAGGGAATGGGAGCACCCACTGACCTCTGCCCCATGGGAAGGGGCACAGCGGAAACAATCTGTAGCCCCATTTGGCAAAATAGGGTAACTCTGATTTGCATCTAGATTTTGGCAACCTTAAGGCCTCTCCTGGGATTTCCCAAATGCTCATCTCAGCTGGGTTGCTGATATTTGGTGTCCGAGGAGACCCAGCTTCCCTTTCCCAGTTAGGAGAGCCCCAGGCACTGTAGGGGTCTGTGGTCCCAGCCTAGACCTGAGCCTTGTGAAGCTGGTGGGAACGCTTTGCACTTGGTGGTGTCTGTCTTCACCCAGCTCACTGACTTCTGCTCCTGTCTTGGCAGTTTGAGAATGAGTCAGCCCTGAACCTCTACGAGACGTGTAAGGTGCGGACGATAAAAGCTGGGACCTTGGAGAAGCTGGTGGAGTACCTGGTCTCAGCCTTCAAGGGCAATGATTCCACTTATGTCACCATCTTCCTGTGCACTTACCGGGCCTTTGCCACCACCAAGCAAGTGCTGGACCTGCTGCTTAACAGGTGAGGCTGCCCTGAGCCCCAAAACACAGCTGTGGGTGGTTGGTGTCTGAACCCCCTCAGCCAAGAGAGCCCCAGCACCTTCTGCTGCAATGCCTTGGAGGGCTGATGGCTTCTCACAACTCCATCTGCTTGGAGGTTTTGGGGCAGAGCAGGGAGGACACCACTTCCCAGAGAGCTGGAGCTCTTCCAGCTGATATCCCTCTGTGAGGTGGCCAGTGCTGGCTGCTTCCCTCTTCCTGTAATATGGGGGCTTGTTTTAGAGGAGGGGGGAGCAGGACACTGTGTAGGAGGTTCATCCTCACCCCTGGCAGAGCTGGGGGTGACATGGGGGGAGAAGAGGCAGCACTGAGAGGCAGCTGAGTCCAGGGTGCTCACTGTCTCCTCTCTGTGCCCCACCAGATATGGCAAACTCCACGTGCAGGTGAATGGGGACCATGCCAGGCACGCTGTGGACGAGAGGATGGAGCTGAAGAAGTAAGTGACTGTGCTGTGGGTGGCTCTGGTGTTTTGGTTCTCCTACAAAGGGATGTGTTTTCCCAGAGGTGTGCCTGGGGTTCATGGGGGCGCACACAGGTTTCTCCTGGCACCCGGTTCTCACTCAGGTTTGCCCGTGTTTTCCCCCTCCCTGCAGCACCATCTCCTCCATCCTGGGGGCCTGGCTGGACCAGTACTCAGAGGATTTCCGCAAGCCCCCAGACTTCACCTGCCTCAAGCAGCTCATCTCCTACGTGCGCCACAACATCCCCGGCTCCGACCTGGAGCGCCGGGCCCGCATCCTGCTGGCCCAGTTCCAGCAGCAGGAGAAGAGCGAGTCCGAGGCAGAAGGTGAGTTCCTTTCCCCTGCGTCTAGGGGGTCATTTGAGGCTGCAGGTGAAGGGAGAAGTGCTACTTGTTGGCACTGAGGGTCTCCAGAACCTCCGGTCTTGCCACATGGCTGGACACTCATAAACCCTGCCTGTGTTTACATGGAGGTACATTGGGAAGCTAATCCAGCTGCACCAGAAGTGGGATTTCTAAGTGGATTAGCTAATCTGCCTTTAATCCTCTGTAGACACTTGCACCCAGGTTTAAAATGACTATCCTTTTATCTGAGCCTCGTTTCTCGAGGTGTGAAGCCAGGTGGGAATTAAGAGCCTGGGAGGTGGGATGTGGGTGCCCACAGGGGGCTGGTGTGGGTCGGTGTGGACCCCAGTTTGTGGCAGCTCTGCAGTGCTCAGCTTCACCCTGTCTCCTACAGCTGTGGACCATGGCAGCTGCACCTTCCAGCTGGCGGAGGAGAACGGGGTTGGGGATGGGAAGCCAGATTTCCTCTCCTTCTCCCCAGAGATGGTGGCAGAACAGTTCACACTGATGGACGCTGTGAGTATTCACTCAACAGCCAGGTCGATGGTGCTCTGGACACAGACCTGGCTCTTTCCATCCATTTTTCCTCCTGCCCTGTTCTCTTCCCAGTGAACCCGAAGAGACCCATCTTCATCCCTTTATTCTTCCAGGAGCTGTTTAAGAAAGTGGTGCCTTACCACTGCCTGGGCTGCATCTGGTCCCAGCGAGACAAGAAGGGCAAAGAGCACCTGGCTCCCACCATCCGCGCCACGGTCTCCCAGTTCAACAGTGTGGCCAACTGTGTCATCGCCACGTGCCTCGGGGACCGGTCCCTGAAGCCACAGCAGAGGGCAAAAGTGGTGGAGCGGTGGATCGAGGTGGCTCGGGTAGGACAGCTCACCTCCCACCTCTGCCCGAGGGCTGAGGTTTTGCTGTGCTGGAATCACAGCAGATCCTCGAGCTCTTTTTAACGCTGAGTCCCGTCATCTCCTTGTTCCCAGGAGTGCCGCATCCTGAAGAACTTCTCCTCCCTCCGAGCCATCCTCTCAGCCCTGCAGTGCAACGCCGTCCACCGGCTGAAGAAGACCTGGGATGAGGTCCTGCGGTAAGCGGCTGCTGGGGGTGCTGGGAGGCTCCAAGGGGAAGGTCATGCTCTGGCCCTTGAATGTTTAAATGGGATCATCTCAGCTCCAGCATTGCAGTGTGCCCAAAACCCAGGGACCAGTGTGAGGTGTCAGGGACCTAAGGAGGGCGAGAAAATAAAAGCATCATCACTTTCCCTTCCTCTGTGTGAAACACCCTGGAATAGCTCCCGAACAGCAAGGCCCAGCTGGAGCTGTGAACATAACTGGGGTCATTTGGGTGAGCAGAAGGGAGCCCAAGGAGGAAATCCCACTGTGTCAGCATTGCCGACTTTTCCCCTTGTTTCCCCCTGAGCAGGGAGAGCTTCCGCACATTCCATGAGCTCTCAGAGATCTTCTCCGACGAGAACAACCACTCTCTGAGCCGGGAGCTCCTCATTAAGGTAAGGAGAAGCAGCACCCACGTCGCCCTGTCTCTGGCAGGGAGCTTAGGCTGATGCTGACAGAAGTTTCCACGGTGTTCCAGCCACAAGGATAAAGCCCTGGCAGAGCTGCTGGAGTCGCAGACATGGGCGTGCCAAGTCTGGGGAGCAGGCAGGGGTTTTGGACCAGGCCAGGCTTTCTGCTTCTCCACCCAAAGCTCATTGCCTGAAGCTGGCAGAGCAATTCAGCAAACAGAGATAAGCAGTGGGATGGGATCCAGAGCACCAGGTGACAGCTTCTCTCCAGAGGCAGCTGCATTTTAATAGCCTGGTGCAAAGTCCTCTTGATTCCAGGTGGGGTGGTGGGATTGTTGAAAGGCTGCAGCAAAAATGTCCTTCTTGCGTGTGGAGCCTCTCCACAGATCCCAGTCCAGCTCTGATTTGAGGGATGAGAGGACACAAAATGCAAAAGGGAACAAAACATCCCATTGAGGAGGCATTTACACAGAGCTGGAAATGAGAGCAGCAGTTCCTATTCACTAAGCCTCTCCTCCCTGTGAGCCATAAAACAGCTTTGATTTCCTCCTCTTCCCCTCATCCCTCTTTCCCTCTGCAAGGAAAGTTGTACCAATAAAAGTGGGTGTGAATTTTAGCTAATAGATATTAGTGCAATTCTCACCTGTGCTGATCCCCACTGATCCCCACCTCTCCCCACCGTCCAGGAGGGCACATCCAAATTTGCCACCTTGGAGATCAACCCAAAGAGGGCTCAGAAGCGGCAGCAGCAGCAGCGAGAGATGGTGAGTGTGGCAGGGCCACCCTCTGCCCCCTCCCCGGTGTCTGCCCAGGCTGGTCCCAGTTCTGCTGACCCTGCTTTCCCTTCCGTCCCCACAGGGCGTGATGCAGGGCACCATTCCCTACCTTGGCACCTTCCTCACGGACCTGGTGATGCTCGACACCGCCATGAAGGATTTCCTGGATGTATGTACCTCCTCCCTATCCTCCCCCTCCTTGCCTTCCTCCCAGTGCCTGGGCTGATAAAAGGAGAGCTGGTCCCCCGTGTGTCCTGTATCCGTCACTGCATCCTGTACCCAACACTGCATCCTGTATCTGACACTGCACATCCACCTCTGTCAGCCTGTGGAATTGGGCCACTTCCTTGGCAGGGACACCCACACTGCAGTGACAGTGAGCCAGGGACAGGGAGGGATGGGAGCAATATTTTTCTGCCTGCTCCATGCTGACCTTCATCTCCTTCTTTTTTCCAGGGTGGGCTGATCAACTTTGAGAAGAGAAGGAAGGTGAGAGCTTTGCCCTGGCAGCTACACAGCAGTGGGGGGAAGGAGGAGGCTGACCTGGTGCAAGCCCAGGCTGTGCCAGTCACTTTGGGGTGGATCTCTGTCCTTTTTTTTACTATCATGTTCTTCACTTTTGGGGAGGGGATTCTGGTCTTTCATACCTGCCCGCATGCATGGGGCTGGGCTGTCTGTGCAGGAGGCTGGGGCTGGAAAACAGATGTGGTTTCATGGCTTCCCTTTGCCACAGGAGTTTGAAGTCATTGCCCAGATCAAGCTGCTTCAGTCAGCCTGCAACAACTACAGCTTCACACAGGAGGACCAGTTCGTGGACTGGTTCCACAGCCTGGAGCGGCTCAGCGAGGCCGAGAGGTGAGTGAGTGGGGTCTGGGACCATTCTGGTGCATCGGGAGGTCCCACCACTCTGTTCTGCGCTCCACTCCCTGCTCTGCCTCCTTGGTGCTTGTGGCAGCACAGAGAGCTCAAACCCTCCTCTCTCCCCTCCCAGCTATGGGCTGTCATGTGAGATCGAGCCGCTGTCAGAGTCAGCCAGCAACACGCTGAAGGCAAAGAAGAACACGGGCATCATCAAGCGATGGAGCGAGTGAGTCTGCCTGTCCCGGGGGGAGGTGGGGGTCAGCACGGGGCATCTCTGGCTGATTTGGGGGTGGTCCTGCCAGCCAAATGTGCCCTCACCCTGCTCCCTTCTGACCTGCCCCACGTCTCTCCTGGCAGCCGGCAGCCGCCGAGCACCGAGCCCTGCGCCAGCGGCAGCTCCCACTCAAAATCCTTCGACCAGCTCAAGTGTGGGCAGTACCTGTGCAGTGGGGACGCCACCGACTCGGTGAGTGTCACCTCTGCCGGCTCCAGCAGCTCCGACGTGGAGGAGATCAACATCAGCTTCATCCCCGAGTCCCCCGACTGCCAGGAGAAGAAGGTACATGGCACCTCTTGGGGTCCAGGCCTCCTGAGGCAGGTGCAGCCATTGTGTCGGGGCCGCCCCACCTCTGCCCCAGTGCTGGGGCTGGGGGGAGCAGGTGGGGGCCCTAGGGGCTGTTTCTGACTCGCCGGGGTTAGGGAGGCCCCTGCCCTTTGCTGCTCCGGCAGCGTGGCAAGGCTCTCGTGCCTCAGGTGGCTGTAGTTGTGTCGGTCCCCCATTGTCACAGGTCAGTGAGATCCCTCTGGCCTCCCTCCCCCAGCGCTGGTACGCCCCGTCTGTGGCCGATGGAGAAGCTAAACCCACTGTGTCCTCCGCATCCCCTCTCCTCCCTGCCCTCCAGTTCTGGGAATCCACCTCCCTCTCCTCCCTGGACACGTCAGGCATCGGCTCAGGCTCCAGCAGTGCCTCCTCCTCCTCCGTCTCCTCCACGCCGGTGACGGCCTCCCGCACACACAAGCGCTCGGTCTCCGGCATCTCCAGCTACTCCTCACTCTCGCTGCCCCTCTACAACCAGCAGGTCGACGACTGTTGCATCATCCGTGTCAGCCTGGCTGTGGACAATGGCAACATGTACAAGAGCATCCTGGTTAGTACAGGGACCCATGGTGACAGGGAGGGATGGCTTGTCCTGCTCGGATGCAGGCATGGCTTGTTTTGGGAGGAGGCACTAGTAGGAGGGAGGCTTTTGCAGTGTTCTGGGCTAATAAAGCTCTGGGCTCACAGGTGACGAGCCAGGACAAGACCCCAGTGGTTATTCGCAAGGCCATGGCCAAGCACAACTTGGACGGGGACCGGCCTGAGGACTACGAGCTCGTTCAGATCATCTCGGAGGAGAGAGGTGTGTGCTGGGGTGGGGGCGGCTTTCCTGGGGCCAGGCAGCCCTGCAGCTTGGGCAGCACCAGGTCGGAGCTGGGCTGGGAGGTGACACTGAGGGGGACAACTCTCAGGTTGTCCCCTTTCAGGGACAGGGTGCCCGACTGACCCCCATCCTTGCTCACTTTCAGAGCTGAAGATCCCCGACAACGCCAACGTGTTCTACGCCATGAACTCCGCTGCCAACTACGACTTCGTGCTCAAGAAGCGGGGCTTCTCCAAGGGGGTGAAGATCAAGCACGGCTCCAGCTCCACCCTGCCCAGGATGAAGCAGAAAGGCCTGAAGATCGCCAAGGGCATCTTCTAGCCTCAGCCCCACTGCCACCCATCACCGACGGGGCCTTGGGGGCAGGCTGCTCCGGGCTTGGCCGCGGCCGGTCCTTGTGCCGCCCTGCACTGGAGAGGAGCGACCCCCGCCTGGGGGCACGGCCGTGCATCCCCCTCCTCCCGCACGGAGACGGGCTGTTGGACAACTGGTGTCGGCCTCTGCCTCTCTCTGCACAAGCCCCCATTCCAATCAGGTCTTTTTTTCCTACCCAGGAAGGCAGCAGCGGGGGGGATATCTCTATTTTTTTGTTGTTTTATTTTTTAAAACTTCCACGGTGCGCCACTCGTCCAGCCCCGGCCAGCCCAGAGCTGGAGCCCGCCTCTGCCGTAGGTGCCTTGTGTCCGAGCGAGCCGGGGAGCGGCGACTCGCAGAGGGGCCGTTGGACAGGAGCAGAGCACGAGCCACCACCCTGGGGCTGCACAGCCTCCCACCCGGCACAGTGCTCTCCTCCCCAGCTTTCCTGGTGGTTACCTCCACGTCTTTCCTTCCTGGGATAGCCGGCATCGCCACCACCGCACATCTCCGCCCGTCCTTCCCTTGGGAGAAGCCACGGATGCCCCGGGCTGGGAAGATGCAGCCCTGTGCTCGGAGCCCTGTGGAGGAGGGCTGTGTCTGTGCCCTGAGGGAGTGGATGCCCTGTGCTCTCCACAGCTGGAAGCCTGCGTGGTCTCGCTCCTCTCCCGATCCAGCGCTTCCTCCAGCTGGACTTGGAATGGCCCGTGTTCAAACTTGCACCAAAGATCAAATGCCAGTGTCTCTTCTGCCGTCGGGGGAAGCTTCGGGCCGTGCCCCCAGTGCTGCCAGCCTAACGAGGGGGAGGAGAGCAAAGTTCTGAACTCGTGTAAATAAGAGATTTTGGGTCTGCGTGGGCAAGCGAGGAGCTGGAGAACTCAGCATGCTCTGGGTGCCCCGGCTGCCACTGCCTGACCCTCAGAAAGTGCCACTCACCTTGGGCTTTAACCAGACTTTTTCAAACACTGACCATGGGAGAAGCAGCAATGGGACTTTTTTTGTATAAAACAAAAAGGTTTACTGATTTTTTTTTTTTTTTTTTTTTTGTGGGTGTAAAT